ATATTTAAAGAACTTTCAGAAGTTTAATTTCTGAATATAACCGTAATTTTCCTTTAAAAGGTTGCTTCATCTGCGGATGTATTTTAAGGAAACACCCTAAACAAACTGCTTCCTCCTGTGAATTCATGGACAGATCATAGTAGAGCACACAAGTAGTCACCAAGAAGAGAGAAAATCTGGGACCTCCACAGGTCTGGGTCAGTCTTAGGTTTTGTTTCCAGCTGCCTTAAGAGACCACAGTTACATTCAAACATCAATGTGCAAAGATAAACCTCATGAAAACAAGATTTTATACAAAATGTGGGACTGAAACGTATGAATATCCCTTGTGCGAACATGGGCCCAAATGCCACTCAGGGACAAAGAAGCAAATACTCCAAACGCCAGGTTATAGTTAGAGAATATACTCAGCGACACTTTATTTTTGGATGGGCATCCTATAGTCTTTTAGAACTCAAATACAGTTTTTTGGTCTAATAGTTCGGGGCTGTGTTTGAAGAAAACCTATTTCCCAATTCTGGATTAATTCTCATATTAATTCTTCATATCACCAAAGACATATTTTAAAAAATTTGTTTTCCATTTACTACAGTAGCAGCCATTGCAAATGGCCCTTCCCAGTCAAACGCCAGCCGAATGGCGGCCCACTTCCCTCCAACTCCCAGCAGAATCCCCTCCAACATCCAGCCACTGGAGTCACCCCCTCTTGCATACTTTTTTACTCCGACTCCTCCCTTTCACTGAATTACAGGATCTGACCAGGAGATGACACTTCTTTTTATATCTTAATGTCCACAAATCATGACAGAAAGAATATTTTAGTACAAAGATTGATGTTTAACAAGGAATTGTGGGGGACCAGCCAAGGACCTATCAGGGAAAGTGGGGAAATTTTGGATGGCTACCACTGTAGCAATCGAGTTTGACATCAGATCACATCAATTCTTAGTCTTAGTCAATTCTGAATCTATTCTTGACATTTGAATAGATTCCCAGCCCTTATAATGAAAATAATTATTACTATTGTTTAGTACGGTGATGGCAGCATCATGAAGTAGGGATGTTTTACTGCAGGAGGGACTGTTGCACTTCACACAATAGGTGTCATCATGAAGAAAGAAATTTAGTTCAACAGATTGGAGAAACTATTCAAGGCATCAACCAGTTAAAAATGGGACAATCATACTCTGAATGCCACCTTATAGGCTGGCTTAAGGGTGATGGTTCAAGGTTTTGGAAGCAGGCGTTACGAAGCTCTGATCTCAGTCCCACTGTAAAGAGCAGGACGATGTGTGTGATCAAGCTGTCCTACAGTCCTGCCCCAGCTGCACCTTTTTATCAGGAGGAATGAGCCACAATTCCAGAAAAACTGCAACTAGAAGCTGATGGAAGGAAACCCAAACATGACTCAGGCAAGCAGATGGAAGTGGAAATTTCACCAGATACTGAGGAAATCTATGCAAACCTGTGAATCTGAAGAGTAAAAAGAAAAATCTGAACCTCAGCATTCTTGTGGTTTATATTTACATGTAGAGGGAGAGAAAGGAGAGGCTAATCAGGGGCAGAATTCACGCCTTGTAGTCTGACCTGAGAGAATCTTTCAAATAATAACCTCCGGGGGTTTTATTTTTCAGAGCCTCGCTGTGGTGTGGCCCTGGTGAGCGAAGGACGGGCGGGTCCACCGGAGCCGGACCGAGGGTCGCCGTCACGCCCTCCCCCGACCAATGACAATCCTCCTGCAGACCGGGGCGGAGCAGACAGCGAGACGGAGAGCGATACAGACGATCCGTAAGTTGCTTTTTATCATCATCAGAAAGGTGTGCGTGAAGCACATGGAGGAACAAAGTTTCATGATGAAACGGCTCTTTGATTAAAACCTCTAAAGCAGGGGTCGGCAACGCAAACTGCTCAAACAGCCGTATTGGACCAAAATTAACGAAAAATAAATCCGTCTGGAGCTGCAAAAATGTAAAAGTCTTATAAATGCCTCGTTTGGCAACACAGACTCTAAGTGTATTAGCCCACTATTAAAAAAGGACTGCGTCGTCTTAAATATATAATTAGAATCCATGATTAAACATTTATCCTGGAGTGAATGTCCCATAGTAGCATGAGGTGAGTGAGGAAGAGGGGAACGGTCTCACCGCACGCCGCTTCACCGCCCTTATTCACGCGGTTTAGGTTATGTTGCATTGATGAAATTATAGAAACAAGATAAAGGAATCTTTCTGTGGTGGATGTGTTTCTGTTGGGAGTAACCAGGGGTGGAAAGTAACGAATTACATTTACTCACGTTACTGTAATTGAGTACTTTTTATGAGTAATATGTAATTTTCTGAGTAGTTTTTGAAATATGTAATTTTTACTTTTACTCGAGTAAATTTTAACCTAGTAGTTTTACTTCGCTACATCTAAAACCCCCTCACGTTACTGAGTAAAAAAATCAATAAGAAAATATTGATGGTGAAAAAATTAAATGCCGCCAGAAACTTAAACCCCTGTGTTACGGAACCGACACTTAATCACCATTAAAAAATAAAAGAAGACTTTTGACTTTTAACAGCACTTTATTTACACAATTCAAACATATAAACAATTGATGTAAAAACATGTGTCATTTCAAAATCACTATTAAAGTAAAACATGTGTCATTTCAAAATCACTATTAAAGTAAAGCAAGTGTCAGTTAAAAATCACTATTAAAGTAAAACAAGTGTCAGTTAAAAATCACTATTAAAGTAAAGCAAGTGTCAGTTAAAAATCACTATTAAAGTAAAACAAGTGTCAGTTAAAAATCACTATTAAAGTAAAGCAAGTGTCAGTTAAAAATCACTATTAAAGTAAAAAAAGTGT